ACATGTGCCCAGCATTGTCGGAAAAAGGAAAAAAGAACCTTTTTCTTGTGTATTGACATACTGAAGTTTCATCGACAACTCCACAACTTATATTATGAAACTTTGCCCTGACCAAAATTGTTTAACTGGAGTAACAATGGGGACAAGTAACTCGATGCTTTGGACACTTGGGTCTCGTCAGCTTTTCCTGGATGCTTGTCTGGGAGCAGAAAACTGTAATTTTGAAACTACGTTAACGGATAAAGAAATAAGAAACTCAACATTACTGCATCCTGATCTAAGATCTGGCTTCTTACTTCCACGCCATGACAACTGGATTGTCAGTGAACCATCGGGAAATGAGTGATTGTTGTAAGAACCAAGTCATCGACAACGAACTAGGATTGGATATGATTTCACTCTCACAATCAACTGTTGGTATTGAATAAAACGGATATCAAGTTATGGTAACTATCACCACTTAACCAACATCAACTGTCTTACCTCGTATGTGAACTGCAGAAGCCTAATGTGCAAGTACCGAAGCTATACAGCTGCAGGGCGGGTATTGACGAGGCGTTGCTACTGTTATAAGGCGCACGGATAGTCACGTGATTTAAACCCGATCTGAAATATATGCGTCAGCATCTACGACGTAATATCCCAACGAAACTTCTATTCCTGAGGAAAGAGTGGTTTTCCCAGGTGTATATTCTGCGCAGTCATGGTGTTGTATGAATCAGCGAAACTTTACATCTGAGACGAAGGGATTTGAGGCCCTAAGTGTCCTGACCTGTTAGTATTGCGCATGGAAGTATAGCATAGAGTGAATTAATTAATTATTCAGAGATGCGACGTTTCAACAAATTTATACCTACGCAGTTTGTTTTGGGTGGTTGACAGTAAATGGACAACGTCACCGGGAGAGAAAATACACCTACACGTAATTTGGTAAGCCCTATATTTATCAAACTGCTCTCTTGAAATGCATGATTAACTAGCCCCATTAAATGCCTTTGGAAAATCAAAGTCGGGAAAAAGCTGTAAAAACACCTTTAGTTTGGAAAGATATTGTGGTACAACCTGTAATGTAAAACAGAAAATGAGCATCCAGCTATAATACCAGCTTGAGATTCTTCTGTAATATCCTTGTTTTCCACCAGAACTGTGATCCTCTACCCAAATTAAATGTAAAAGATCAAAACCGACTCCGATCCTACTTATAATACCGACGACATTGTTCAATTTACATTTAAGCGTTTCGTTGACAACAAAAACAAGGCTTTAATTCTTTATACTGTTGGAATCAACTGGGATGCGATACTTTGCCATGTACGCTCCATGCACGTGCTCGCTCCATGCACGTGCTCTGCGCGCGTTACCCGTGTCCTGCACGTGTGCTGCAAGCATTACCCGTCTTGTGAGGAACACATGGTTCATACTGACAGACAATCCCTTTCTTCACAGCGATCTTTCTTAGCCTAGTGGTTAAAACCGCCAAGCTGGCAAGCGAAGGGTTGCAGGTCCGAAATTAGGCATCGACACAATATTGGAAGTTTTCAATATTGTGATATTTTACAATCGTATGCACTGAACAGTGTGAGACTTTTCAAATATGCAGCCCCTTTATTTATCAAAGATGCAGACTGGCTTAGAATATCTCTGTTCTGTTATGGATAGTTACGATCCCGTCTTCAGCAACCCATACATCTCGAGAGGCGACTAACGGGATTGGCTGATGCATGCCATCGTATCGCAATTGCTTAAATCGATGGTCAAGCTGTGAATTACTGGAGTGACTGATCGAGAATCGATTATTCACAGACCACCAGGAAAACAGGAATATTGCTGACAATAAAATTAATTAAACAAAATAATGTTATACTAAATATGTTATCGGGATGACGTCATCATCCTAACCTAAAACTGACAGTATATACATGTGCAGCTCCAGTTTCAAATTCCGCTATAACAGATAGGTGACTGGCACAAAGACAACAAAGATTCACATCCACCAGACCGTTCAGAACACATGCAGAAGAACGCTTCAACAGCCATGGATGTAAATGTGTATCTGACATGAATGGTATGTACACGACACAATGCAGCCCTCCATTACATCCCAGCAAAATATACGGGTAGACAGCAGTAGATTCACTTTCACCAGACAGTTAATAACACGTGCAGAAGAACGCGGACATGTTCAAACATTTTATAAACAATTATTTTTTTGTCAACCAAAGGGCATGTCGTCCAAATCCCCCCACAGTTCATAAGCTCATAGTATTTCTGACGAATTGTATTTGTGAGATCCGAATTGTATTGGGTTTTGTTCTTCTTGACATAGACTCGAGCTCCTGCGCCAAACTTAACTGTAGCCCTTGAATACGGTTCATTTCAGTTTAAGAGGGCCATAGCATCACTCCCACGTTTAAATTGCTAGAAAGGCTATTCTGACAGTGCTGGATTACATTCAACATCAGCCAAATAATAGACATTTTGTCACCTTTTCTGATTCCCTGTCATTCCATCAGCCACTACACGATGTTTCTTTATTAACCATATGTTCTTGAAATTTTGAAGCTGTATAATGACCTTTCTACTGGCCGACCTTCAGTCTGACTGTAAAATATTTTTTCACACGAGATACATACATGTATTACCAAATTTCATCTTTACAGGATGGTTTTATCAACGCTGATTCACATTTACTTCTAGGCTCTTAAAAAGAAATAGAATTGTTCTATAGATTTTCATCAATAGTGATTAAAACAGGTTGACGTAATTGATAACTAATTTTACCATTGTCCCTTGTGAAGATTGTGAATGTTTTCCTGTCCTTTGGGATAGATGTTCAGGATAACTCTTCGCGTCTATATTTGACCGACGTAAAATGTTTGCTCACTCAAAAAGGTCCAAGTATTATACTGGTTCCCCATTCTGGAGGAAAGGATTTAGTTACTACTAGTATCTTGTATAGACACAAAAAATTCTAATGGAAACTTGGGTGAATCAAATATTCTATAAGGCTCTCTGCGTTCCATCATGACTGATCCAGGCTTGATTATTCTCAGATAACAGTAGAAAATAATATTGCGGAGTTAATTAAACAATCAAAACAATGTTAATAAGATATTGTTTGATCTATTCACCAACAAAGCTTTCTCTTGACGTTATCATCTTAACCTAGAGCTTACAGTTGATATATTTGAAGCTCCACATTCAGCCGTGACAGGTACGTGACTGGCGCATAGACAACATTACATTCACATTAACCAGTCTGTTAACAATACACGGAGAAGAAAACCTCGGGGTCTGTTAACCCTAAATGGTGTGTACACAACTCGATGATCCCCTACAACACATCACAGTATATACATGTGAAGACAAGTCTTACAATTGTTATGAGAGTGGGTTTTTTTTTGTAATTTGTAATGTCACATTGATTAAGTGATAGTAATATTGGGTCACAATGTTTTAAGTTTTGAGTGTGGTTTTGGCTCGCATCTCGCATCATATATGTTCTATGTCAGTAGTATAGCGCTTCAGAGTTGCCTCCCTTGGGGCAATCTTTTGCATTTGTTTTGACTTTCTGTCTTGTGTTTACAATGGCTTTCGTGAACGTTCTGAGACAATAATTATGGAGCCTAGCTTTGCTAGAATGCTCGAGAACTGTGTAAGAGGCTGGTTGTTGCGTTGTTCGAGACTTATTACGTGACTGGATTTACATAAATTTGTCTGCCATCGTCGAGTTTCTCAACATTTCAAGACTCACCGTGGTTGCCTGCTGTCATTGTTAACGACCCTCAATAAGTATATCTGTTCTCACTGTAAATGTCAAGACTCTGGTGATATATTTGTGACCCAATATCATAGATTTGTGTCTCAATTGCATTGTACTAGAAATCTGTATTGTCATTCATTGTAGCTTGCTCATTGTTTGTTTAGTATATTATTGAATATTTTAGACTTTTCTGTGTTCTATTTTGTTAATACAAAGGGGACTCTTAAATCTTTTTGTCACTGCAAATTATTAATCACAGGACATACACGTGCAGTCTGACAACACATCACAGCACATACACGTGTAGTCTTACAACACATCACAGCACATACACATGTAGTCTTACAACATATCGCAGCACATACACGTGTAATCTTACAACACATCACAGCACATACACGTGTAGTCTTACAATACATCGCAGCACATACACATGTAGTCTAACAACACATCACAGCACATACACGTGTAATCTCACAACACATCACAGCACATACACGTGTAATCTGACAACACATCACAGCACATACACGTGTAGTCTTACAACATATCGCAGCACATACACGTGTAATCTTAAAACACATCACAGCACATACACGTGTAACCTTACAACACATCACAGCACATACACGTGTAGTCTTACAACACATCGCAGCACATACACATGAAGTCTTACAATACATTGCAGCACACACACGTGTAATCTTACAACACATCGCAGAACATACATGTGTAATCTTACAATACATGGCAACACATACACGTGTAGTCCTACAACACATACAACCCACAGTTTTCAGATACAGTGTATCACTGCTGCACAGACAGTGACCAGTGTCAGATCGCTTAAACATTCAATCTGCTATTTCTGGTTTGGTATTGTTACACTGGCTAAGGTAAAATAGAAGACGCACGACTGTTTAGATAATACATACCTGTTTATAACTATAATACCATAATCTCAGTTCTGTAATGACCAAGGAATATCCGGGCTACAACTGGTCAACGGCAGCTATTGGGATCGGATAGTCAGGTTTGATGACTTGGTAGACGCATTATTTGATGTTATGCCATTTTAATGCAAAGGTATAATACCATGATTTGTGGTGTTTCTCCTTTATCGCTGTTTAACTATTGTCAGCATAATCTTGAAATCTGTATGATTTGACATTAGGCTTCGTGACACGCCCTTGAAGCGATGTGGTGTTATTTTATGATATGCACAGTTGTTTTTTTCCGTTAGTATACATTTGCAGCTCTTATTTCAAATTCAACTATTACAGGTAAGAAAATAGAGCATATACAGCAGAAGATTCACATTCAGACTGTTAAGAACACACTGAGAAGAACGCTGCAACAGCCATGGCGTAAACATGTATTCTGGCCAATACATCACAATACATCACAGAACGTCGTGGCTCACGTCTCCGTGTGTGCAAAGTCAATGCGTCCGAGTCTCAGTGTGTTTATTATTGGAATTATTGACTGTCTTAGTTGAAAGGAAACCAAGTTCACTGAAATCCATGAGGACGTTAACAAAATACAGAACACTTAAATCCTAATGTATAACATCCTACAAACCTACAAACCAATTGACACATTAACATGAAACAGTCGGTTAGAAATTCATTGTGTAACGTTTTGGATGGGACCTGATAAACGTGTATCAGTTTGCGCTCAAAATAGAAGTCCCAACAAACTTTTGCCAAACAAATCAGTTATAATAATGTTAAACTGCAGATAAAAACAATGCATTATTTTTTTTCGTCAGCCAAAGTGTATGTCGTCCAAATCCCCCCACAGTTCATAAGGTCATTGGCCCTCTTACGAATTGTATTTGTGAGATCCGAATTGTATTGAGTTTTGTTCTTCATGACATACACTCCTACGCTAAATGTGACTGTAGCCCTTGAATACGGTTGATTTTTCTTTAAGAAGGCCATAGCATCACTCCCTTTCATCGTGTTTCCGTCTTTGAGTGTCAGTACCAAAGATGTCACATCAATCATTTCGCCTAAATTCCTAACTGCTCTGATGTCACAACTTCCAAGTGGGCTCTGTTTTTTTAGGTACTGTGAATACTCGTCAAAGATGGCTTGTGCTTCTTTCACATGGGATGTGAATGATGCATTTTCTGCATACCTTGTATACGCACCAACGGCGCCAATGCCACTTCCCAAAACCCTCCCAGCTAGAGCTATGGCGGGAACCACTGTGGCAAGAGAGAAACCAAGAAGCGAGAGACCAAAGACACCTCCAACACTCGCAGTTACAATGGTTCCTCCTGTTATGTTCACAACAAAGGTTCTTCCAGCAATTTTGGCATAACGTGCATCGTCTGCGTCCAGAGCGTCAGCCAGTTTATGTAATGCGTCCTTCACTTTGTGAATAAACGCTATTGCTGCTCCAGTCATTATTATTGATGCCTCTTGAACCTGAAATATTAAACATTAAAATCAATTATCAATTTAAGGGACAATTTTAATGCTTCGTAAAAATGTTACTCCTTCTTTCTGCATTTTCAGACATAATTTAAATCCTGTGTACTTCTCCAGTGTACCTATACTGATAACGGTAGTTTTATGTATTCAACGAATTTGCTGACATTTTCATTAGTAAGTGAATGGCCTGCTTCGATCATGCTTCGCAACAACGTTTGAGAGAATTTTATAAGGCTGAGCAGCTTCATTCCTAGAACTGTGTATTTTCATCATCAATTTGGAAAATAAATGGCTAACACTGGCACAAAATATATGCTTGCCAGCCAAAATAAAATGCTTGTCAGGTCAACTGTCAGTTATATGATGTTTGACTTAAACCCTGTCCTCTGAATAATAATCTAGGTATGGTACGTGGAATATGACAGGAAGAGTTAACTCCTCTTGGTCGCCAACATTGGTTGAAAAAACAAAATGTCTATTTACAACACACGTACCTTAACCGGGAGCGTTTCCATACGATACAGTGGATTTTGCAAGATTTATAGTTCTGATTTATAATTGCATTTCTGATGTTGCATGAATGTAAGTGTTAGTCTAAATGTGTCAGAAAGATTTGTTGCTCATATCTGTTCAATCCTGACTTATCAAAGGTTAGAGAACTGTATAGTTTAATCATCCAAAATCTGGCACATCATGATATACGGAAATAGAGGTCATGGCATACGATACAGTCAGAAAGACACAATATAAAATATCTGGGATTTGATGTTATTTATCTAAATGCTCTACGTGTATGCTTTCCAGCTTCTTCAAAATGTCAGTACGACTGAGTGAGTTTAGTTTTAGCAATATCACGGTGGGGGACACCAGAAATGGCGTTCACACATTATACCCATATATGTGGGGAATGGAACCCGGGTTTCGGCGTGAGGAGCGAACACTTTAACCACTAGACTACCCCGCCGCCACAGTACGATGTAAGCCAGATATGTAGTAGTGTATTATGGTGGAAGTGAATTCATTCAAATATAACATACAAATATGCTTAAGAATAAGTCTTTTCTTTGTTTATAATTTTTTTGGGCTATTTCCCATCATAAGTATATTTCTATCAATGAAATTTATCATTTTTTGGCTATGGAACGATCAGAATAATTATGTAAAGTTTGTCCAAAGGAAGATGTGTCATGGTTTAATGTTATTTTTAAAAAATCCATTTTTGTAGAAATATGGTTAGTTAGATATCTTGCCTTCACAATATTTTTTTCGAATATGAATTGATTTTATCATCAACAACATTGAGTGACTCGTAAAACGTTTCTGACAAATGCGCACCTGGCCAATCATTATGCACCACTGTATTGTCCATAAAAATACATTAACAATGAATAAGACAATTCCTTTATCTGCATATTCAGTTTAGCTGTTGAAACTGGAAGATACAATAAAGTTAATTACAACGAGAGACATTATGACATTCCATGTACTATTTTAAGTGTGAACGTTTTTCTGATTTAAGGTTAAAATATATTCCATGATCCAAATGCCAATTTTATAACAACATAATGATTGTATCGTAGAGACAGTATTATTCATGTACTTCAGCGCATTAGAAATACACAGCTGCACTCAACTATCTATATGATATGCAAATAATGTATGATGGGCCTGTGGCCTTTTACTGAATAAACTTGTCTGTCTATATTCAGTTCATTAAATATATCAATCATTTTCATTACGATTGTCAGTTATACCTATAAGGTTAAATTAATCACTATTCATTAACCTATTTATATGAAATAAAATTAATATTGAAATGCACATAGTAAGAACTAAAGAACATGTTGCAGTTATGCTCAGGCGCCAAGGCATTTTTCATCTGTAAAGCCTGATGTTGCAAAGGCTAATTATGTAGATTGACATTGCTTGCCCAACCTAATAGTTAAAAAATAGATACAACTCAAAACATAGGCTGATAATGGTAGCTATTTCCATCATGCCAACATCTTCTAACGGAGTGGGGCATAAAGATGAAACGTTAGAGACGTCACACCGTGACCTTAGTTAAAATAGATACAACTCCCGGTGTGCACTGCTGACCGCCGCGCCTTCCACGTTATGTATTAGATATGGTATTGTTATTTAATTCCTCAAATTTCAGGTACATAAGTGGATCCTAGTTGTTTATAATCATGTTTCCATGGTCCTATTAGACCGTGAATCAAATGTTTAAACGACAACACTTCGGTTATCATCACCACTGTCAATATAAGAAATTCTATGATTAATAACTCCCTCACCCCAAAAACAAAATACTTATATGTCACTTATATTCGATCGATACTGAAGATTTGAAAATTGTGCAGAACATGGGCCATATTAGGAAAGTGTGGCAAATCTTTGAAACTCAAATAAACGAATCGTGAAAATGCTTGCCTTACCATCAATCGATAAATGATACTGAGAATGTTAACAATAATTATTTTGCACCGATGTATGTTTTTATCTTTCGAAACGTTGACAAACTTGTCTTCAAACAAATGAAGAGAAGTCGATCGAATGATATAACAGTAAATCGTGAAATATATTTATCATTTATGCTTGATAGAATAATCTTAAAACGTACCTTTTTATCAATACAAATTTGCATGTATGGTTATATTTCACAAAATACTGAGAACGTACAAATCATGTTTGTTGCTTTGTTTTCAGGCTTTTAAAAGCACTAGACTATCAGGGTTATTCTGAGCAGACTATTAGTGGCCGTTCAATTAACAGTTGTAACAAATGTTAGCTGTCTAACCTATTTGGAATTTGGGGTCGCATTTTGTTTTACTTACATCTTTCTTAGAGTTTCAGTATATTGACGTCAATACATTCTTTACAAATATAATACTTCCTGATATCGTTAGCATGTACAGACACATTAACGCCATACTAGCAAATACTGGCCTATTGATACAGGAACTTTCCTCGTTCTTATCACTGAACTTTACAAAATTTGCAAATTTCACTAACAGGGACGCGGAAAGAGTTTATCAACCTCATGTACACGTTTGAAAACAAACGACAGTTCGTTGAAGTAATGACACAACTACGTTTCTAAGGCACACTGTTGGTTGGAATAGTCCGACATGACTGTTCGGAATAGACCGACATGGCTGTTCGTAATAGCCCGACATGACTGTTAGGAATAGTCTGACATGACTGTTCGTAATAGCCCGACATGGCTGTTCGGAATAGACCAACATGGCTGTTCGGAATAGACCGATATGACTATTCGGAATAGCCCGACATGGCTGTTCGTAATAGCCCGACATGACTGTTCGGAACAGCCTTCATTTGGAAATAAGTGTAATATCAATATTTTCACAAAAGGATGTATTTCAAGAGTTATCCAGAATATATTTCAGAAGAGAACACAATGAATAAATAAGATTGAGCCTCTAATCTGTGATACCCAAGTTTCCTGATGTGGGAATAGGTCCAAATATTATATTGCTTACCCCCATTCTAGCACGAACTACCATGCACAGCAAAACATACACCACACGTGTACACGTGTTGTCTCACAACACACCACAGCACATACACGTGTTGTCTCACAACACACCACAGCACATACACGTGTTGTCTCACAACACACCACAGCACATACACGTGTTGTCTCACAACACACCACAGCACATACACGTGTTGTCTCACAACACACCACAGCACATACACGTGTTGTCTCACAACACACCACAGCACATACACGTGTTGTCTCACACCACACCACAGCATATACACATGTAATCTCACAACACACCACAGCACATACACGTGTAGTCTTACAACACATCACAGCATATACACGTGTAGTCTTACAATACATCACAGCACATACACGTGTAGTCTTAGAATACATCACAGCACATACACGTGTAGTCTTACAACACATCACAGCACATACACGTGTGGTCTTACAATACATCACAGCACATACACGTGTAGTCTTACAATACATCACAGCACATACAGGTGTAGTCTTACAATACATCACAGCACATACACGTGTAGTCTTACAATGCGTCACAGCATATATACATGTGTAGTCTTGCAACACATCACAGCACATACACGTGTAATCTTATAATACATCACAGCACATACACGTGTAATCTTACAATACGTCACAGCACATACACTAAACGCCAAAAGAAACGTTTCCGGATTCCTGCAAGACGGAGGTACCTATATTCAGCTGGCGTAGTGATGCGTGGACGCCCACTTCTTGGTCTGTCTACGGTGACAGTCTATTTGTAGCGCTGAATAAGTCTTATAACCGTGATATGGTGGCATCCAAGGACGCTGGCAACAACATTGTATGTCGACCCCATCTGCACCACCCCAATGGCTCTTTATCTCTCTTCAGCTGTTAATCGTGGCATATTTCTCGTACTTGTTTTTCATATCATGCATTCTAGGCTCTCTGTATACCCTATAAAATCATTCTACCGTAAAATTGATTCAAATACTGCTGAATATTGCTACGTTTGGGCGATTGATTTTGCTATGTGTAAACAGAAAATGGAAAAATGTTACTTTGCAAGCAAAAATGTTAACAAACATAATTTAAGATGTTACTAAACACTTTATCACAACATCAAAGACACGTTTGACTTATTTTCACTAATGCAAATCGGCAGAATACGTAAAAGCAAAAACACTTTTAGCAAGGCAATGGCAATATACAGAGTAGACCATCGATACATCATACGTTGTACACATAGTACAGGACATCAGGGTGTCTTCGTGATAATTTGACATGATAGTCCTGCATCCAATCTCGATAATATATGTTATTACCTGTTGAACAAACGTCTTACCTTCAAAGAAGGCTCCGAATATTTCCGACATCCGTGTTCGTGTCACGTGAGACACAAATGGGTGGGGTAGCTTAACTTGCATAAGCCTCTCAGTCCATATTATCTGAAAGGCCTTTTGACAGAGTTGAATATAAACAGAAATAGACCCGGATCCCAACACCAGTTGTTCTTTCATCGTGTAGCGTTATGTCATTTACAACATTAACCCATTGAATGCTGAGTTGTAGTATCAGTTATTTCCTACGTTAGGAGTTGGGGAGTGTATGAACGGGGTTTCACGCTTCTGTGAACATCATAGTTATAGCATGGTGTGTCGAGATAATGTGGCCTGTGTGTGCCAGGACATACACCTAAACCCCGTAAAGAACCCCACAGACACGGGTATTGTTGTGACGGAACGTCCTCGGTCAGTAATCGAACCCTCGACATTGGATCCTGAGAAGGCTAAGGGACATAACTCATTCCTAGATAAGCATTATTTAAGGGAAATTGTACGAGGTTATAGTTATACGTTTCTGCAAAAGTCAAGAGAATACATCACAGGCATGCCAATCATGAATAAAAGGCTGCATTTGTTGCAGAGAAGTGTTGTGGTAACGTTACAGTTTAGTTACAGTAACGTTTAGTGGTATAGTCTGGGCTGGAGGGGTATACTTTGGCGTGGTCCAGAATATACCTCGGGGTATAAACTGAGCTAGCCTATCGTTTACCCCGGGGTATAATCTGGTGGGGGTGGGGGGGTTATTCTGGGCTGCTACACCGGATCCAATACATCGCCATTGAATAAGCGATACTTGGTTAAGTCATCATCGTTGAGCTGCATTTAATTATTTTCATAATTATAACATGCTTGTCGTGAGTTACTTTCGTTTTCATTCACGCATTCCCCATGTTCGTTCCAAAGTTCAACAAATCTTCTAACTGATTACTTCAAACAAGTATCCTGCAGAACTTGGAAACTTGGTCACAGGCAGATTTATGCTAACTTTCTCCTAACGTTTCCATTTTTACAAAATCAATTTATCAGTGCGTAAAATACATGTGAACACTGAGTGCGTTAATCAGTTACGCGTTGTGTTCAAAATGTCTCAGTTTCTCTAAATGTGGAACACACATATTTGCAGTTAGATGAATGCATATCTGAGCTATGTCAGAACAGGAGTATTTCGGGGTGTCATTGTCACAGCTTGTGTGCGCATGTACAATGTTCTTGTCCCCTTCTCTATTTCAATGTTCAATATGTTTAGTATTTATTTTTACTGATATTGAAGTACCTCTAAACAGAAGGTGTATTAATGAGCGACATTGGGCAGTTAAGAAGCGATCACGGTCAACGTTTTATATAACGAACATACGTTTGTCGAGAAGTAAAAGCTTGTTCCATGCGTATTCTACATCGTTTTTGGGTTGCATCGAACTTCGGATAGCCCTTTAATTGGGGCCTTTCAACTTCGAAACCTCGACCGTACTACCAATCACGAATTTGTCTGGTTGCGTTAAGTGTCCTAGTGTGGCGTTAAGCAACAACCAAACCACAAAGCTACGAAGAATCCATCTACCTGCAGAATCCGTCGCAAATGGATACTTAATTGTTTTTCTTACTCTGTGGATACAACTGAAGATGTTCATTTCTCGTTTCATGGTGTCATATCTATATATATAGTTAAGTGAATACCTTCGTAACCTTCTGTTTGCAATATCACAATCCTGCTCTTTTGACTCTTCTTCTATGCGTCCTTTCTGTTCACAATGCGGGTTTGAGCTGGGTTTCAAACCATCAAACCTTCCAGCCGTCAACAACATGACGTGACTGAGGTCGAGCGAAAAGATGGTGAATTAGAGTAACAAATCTCAGTGAACAAATGTGAAGAGGCATAAAATACCAGAACATTTGGTGGACAGACAGACAGACAGACATTTTGTTTCAGTAAAAGGCCACTGGCCCATAATACAGACAGATGCATGGTGACACATCACATAAATGGTACACATAGAGTTATAAACAAGCTCTGCTCTTAATTCTAATTTGTACATTATATAAAAATAGACTAACATTCTTAATCACATCAACACTGGTAGATTGCATAATAGTTATAAAGTTGTTTATTGTAGGAGGTTGACTAAAATATTTCACAATATATTCATCTCGAACATCAGAAATGCATTAACAGATATACAAAATATGCCACTCATCTTCAACAACGTGAATACCTTTTGAAAAAGGTAAACAGAAATTTCATTAGAAGCAATATTTTCATATCTCCCAGTCTCTATTGCTAAGTTAAAATTTCAACATCTGAATTTTGAAAGGGCAGATCTCAAATTTAAACAAATATTACAATTTAAGTATTTTTCTACATGCAATAGGGTTTTATACTGACAATAATAAGTAGTTTTGTGTGAATGTTCAATGGAAGTATACCAGAATTGCTTTAAATTGTCAGTCAAATTGTTTAAAAAGAAACATAAAATACTTAAAATTTCCAGTACCCTGACTGACCCATGCATAGCCCAAACCATAAGAAAATAAAATATTTTTAACATTAGTTGCCCAAGTCACACGTCCAACATCATCTAATGATTTCAGCATTTGATAGCAGTGATTTGCGATTCTATTTGGGGGAAGTACAATAAATGACACCAATATTTGATAACCTTAGTCAGATATACAATTTGTAACGGGAGTCTACCACATTCACCAAGTACCACATTATTACAAGTTGATTTACCGACTTTTAAAAAATACTTACAAAATGTAATTTGTACAGACTCTATGAGTTTACAATAACTGGTGCCCCAAACTTCAGCGCCATAACATAATATAGGTGAGATCATACAATCAAATATTTTCAACAAATCTTTACAGTTGACACTACCGATTTATCTCAGAAAGGTATTAACAGAAAATAATGCCTTATTGGCCTGAGAAAAAGACAGATACAGATTCAATTTGTTTTACCATCATAATACTATTTTTCATAATCTCTTAGAAGCCCACCATTTTAAAACAAGAATCTTAGTCTTTTTTAAGATTAACTGACATACCAGTAGATTTACAAAACTTCTCAAGAACACTAATCTTTTTTCTGTAATTGGTTACATGAATCAGACAAGGCTGCAACATCATCAGCAAAATAAGTGAACATACATTATTAAAATCTGATGAAACTGTTACACCTGAACCACCCTCCAGTTCCATTAAAGTACATAACTTGTTCATGAAGATAATAAATAATTGTGGGCTTAAAACACAACCCTGACGGGTACCAATATTACAAGACAAACATTTGGACAAACCATTTAGAAAGTTCTAACATAGAAGCTGATAAATTCTGATACATTGTTATTATAACATTAAAAAATTACCACATTTACCATCTTCAGAGACAGACTGAAGTAAAACATCAGGTTTAATAGTGTCAAATGCTTTGGAAAAATCAATGAAAAGACAATAAAACCTACCCTTCTTTTTACAAGAATATTTCTGAATTAAAGCCTGGAGGGAAAATATATGATCAATTGTAGAATAATTAGCTCTAAAACCTGCTTGGGAGTCACTAATAATTTCATTAATATCACACCATTTCTGAAGACATTTATTCAAAATAGAAGTAAATATTTTTACAAACAGAGACAATGAGGGATATGCCTCTATAATTATTAGGGTCATCTTTACAGCCAGATTTAAATAACGGGCATATTATATAGAGTTACCACTGTCAAATATTTCATTTAGTATGGAAGTAAGAAAGGGTACAATATAATTACTAGAAGCTTTTAAGAAATTCTCCAGCCACACCATCAGGTCCTGGTGACTTATTAGTTGGAATATTTATAACATGAAACAAAACTTCCTGGTGAGTAATTGCTACATTAAGTACATGTAATTGAACAAATTTCCTGAGCAATTGCAACTGAGACATATCACAACTGGAATAAGAGTCACCAACATTTATAACATAAAGTGTAGTGTAGCTCTGAGTGTAGCTGGGTGTAGCTGAGTGTAGCTGAGTGTAGAGTCACCAACATTTATAACATAAGTGTAATGTAGCTGAGTGTAGAGTCACCAACATTTATGACATAAGTAACATATGTAGGGTGTAATGTAGCTGAGTGTAGAGTCACCAACATTTATAACATAAGTGTGTAGTGTAGCTGAGTGTAGCGTTAACAATAAACCAACCAACCAGATGAGAGCCAGCGCACGTGCACTCCAGTGTTGCTGAGGTAGAGTCACCAACAGTGAATTGAGTGTACAATTAGAACCCCACCAACATTTATAACATACGTGTAGTGTAAAGCTGAGTGTAGAGCAAGTGTAGTATGTCCAGCATGTAGATATATAGAGGAATGCAAGAGAAATAAATGGTTTACAGTTTCATCATGAAAGAACACTGGAGGTGGGAGGCATTTTTGCTTATAACATTAGCTGGAGTTTTTAATCAAACTATTGTTGAAGACAACTGTGTACAACTACTGTCGGAGGGTGCGATTCATATGCATCATGTTAAGTAGGGCTACTTACATGTGGAGTACTTCATTATGTAAAGTTTGAACACACATATAAGCGACATTTCCATAATTTCTTGCGTTAAATTATATTGAGCTGGTTGAGGGTTTTCATTTAAAGGAATTTGTAACAACTGGAGAGGACTTATACACACACAACATTGGACTGTGTGTGTAAATTAACATTTCCAAGCTTACTCACAATTTTTCTAACTGCTACTAGGAAAATGAAGAGCATGAAAGAAGCAAGGCCACATGGTTAATAGCGTGCGCATGCGCCTCGACCTTCTGATATTACGCATGCGCGCGTACAACGTGTATAACGTGATAAAGCAGGGACGCAAGGAAATTAAACGTCCCATTGTCGCGATTTTGTATTTTTGTGACCTGAGGTCATAAGTCAAGACTGCGAGATTTTACATCGTGTCGACGTGTGGCATGTACAAAAATATGAGGAGAATACGAGATATCTCACGATTTGCACTTTTGGCATATTTAGCTCGTTTTCAGAGGTCGAGATCGGGAAAATGCAAGATTGCGAGAATGCCCCTTTCAGTAATCCCTAACTTCCCATTCCGGAATATATTTCAAGTAGAAGACTCATTTTACCATGAAAGTGAAATTTCTTATTTATTCCAGAAAACTAAACTCTTTCATTCTGG